ACTTATTTTATTTAAAAAAAATTTCTTGGTAAAAATATAGCTCGAAGTGCATGAGAAAACCTTTATTTCCAAAATTTTTAAAAGTCCCTAACATTAAAACTAAGCGAGTTGTGGCGAAAATACCGTTGGTTTTTTTGTATGGAACAATTCGTGAACACAACACTCCAAAAAGAGGAGCAAACCGCGGACACGTGTTTCTGGCTATTGGCCTCATCAGCGCGGTGCAGCCAAGTGCAAAGATGGGCAACACTTGTTTGCCGAAAGCAGAAAACAACACATATGCAACATTTTTGGAGTGTCGTGTCCACGAATTATTCCATTTTTAATATGTATAATTAATTTAAGAGCCACCGGTAGACAGCTGTTTCAGCCTATAACTGCGTGAACGCAAGCGAGACATAAGTGGAGCCATCTATTGGTGTGACACCCAACACTGACATAAAAACTTGGCAAGTTGAGTTGGGTGTCACACCAATAGGTGGTTCCACTTATGTCTCTCTTGCATTTACGCAGTTATTTTTATTAAGTACTTTTCTTGGTTTTTCACATTTCATTTTGTCTTCAATCGAGGACCACCTGCCCGGTACTGACGATGCCCAATAGGCTGAAACAGCTGTCTACTCTTAAATTGAAATCAATATGGGAATGATCAGAATGGTACTTATTTATTTTCATAGAATTATTTTCCAGCAGCTTGACTGCATTAACCTTTCTCGATCTTCAATAACTTCTAAACTCACGTTTCATTATTTCATTTGTTTCGCAATTCCTCCGATAATTTGATAATATAAAGATAAAATCAATTAATCTTAATCTCCAGACGTGAATTTTGATAACAAAAAATACGCGCCCAGGAATACATTTGCTAATATGTATTAGGCACGCAACGGTTTCATTTGCTTTCATTTTTCTACGTTCTATTAATTTTCAAATGTTATTGTGATAATCTTAAAACATCGATGAATGTGTTTATCTCATAGTTACATTTTGTTTATTACTATCATTACGTATCCAAATAACATGAAATTGAGAAAATGAAAAATTTACAAACCTAGCTTTCTTCTATAAAAATAGATGAAAGAAATTGATGTTCTTGTTAGACAGTTTTATTCTCTCAGATCCAAACTTACATATAGGGATTGTGAGATATATTGGTATGACACTAAAGTTTATGCAACCCCTTCAGGTTCTTGTCACTCCCATTAAAAATTTTCTTGGCAATTCCAAGCGCATTTTTGATAAAACAGTTAATAAACATACAAACCATGAAGTTTATGAAATCGAGCAAAGTAGGGAATTAGTTTTCAAATCCCCCTCGTAACACAAAATAGTTTCAACATGTGCATCTCATCAAAGGAATTCTTTGTTCTAAATTGAACGTCTTCCAATGAACCCACGGTTTTTATCTAAAACGAGAATGCTCACTTTTCGCCTTTGAATTGGTCCAACAAATGACCATTTTTCCGATGTTCATAAAACTTTGGAATTAGGTTCTATTTACCCCTTACTTGATCCTGAAGAGGGTGGATGTGACCCCTTCCCAGGTGTGATAAAAGTTTCATTAAAAATAAGTCCGGAAATGGATAGACCGACTGACTCTAAGCAACCTTTGGTCTTTTTTTTAATCTTTTCAGACGCTACTTATTTTATTAAAAAAAAATTTCTTGGTAAA